TTTTTTTTTTTTGACAAACCCAGTTAAGAACCTAGATCAGCCTAGACTAACAAACAGTTCTGGTCGTATGATATAGATTGCTGGAAGTTATTTACGTAATGTTTCTTGGCGTATCCGGGCCTCGAATAAAGAACGGGACACGTATGTCGAATTCATATGGCATATTTTTGCCTTTGACCAAACCAAATTGTCCTAGATGATAACCGTGATCGCTGGAGTAAATTATGTAAGTCTGCGAGAGTACTCCAACATTTCGTAGCTCGTTGAAAAGCTAAAATAAAAGCTTTTGACTACATATTTGTCAAATTATCGTTCAGAACTAAAAGAAACATTATCGAAACACGATCATAATGTAAGCACTCGTTGTATGTTATGGTCTACGCTTTGAAGTGTCTGCAGTCGACGCCTATGCAGTAGATCGGTGAACACAACGTGTACTGGTTCCATACGACCAGTGTGTTGCAAAATCCATTGCTTGTCGGGATTGGGAGCATAATTCCAAGATGGCGTTCTACAAAATTAATGTCTTTAAGACTAGAAAGAACAAAACAAAACAATAGTAATAAAATCAACGTTCACCTATGAGTTTCTACATTTTCAAATAAATGCGAGAATTGTGGAGCAGGATCTTCAGGACCGTGTGGTGCGGGAAATGATAGCACGACAAGAAACGGCTTTGTCGGTTGCCGTTTACAGTGTTTTTTAAGAAATGCAATTGTATCGTTGGCAATTAGATCAGTAAAGTAGTCCTAAAAACCTTCCTTTTCCAACTTGAGTTTTACACATTAATAAGTCATTTTCAGCCAAAAGTATGGTTACATTTCCATTTAGATTTCTATCATGAAAAACAACTTCTAATAAACTTTTTTAATTTACCTTTCAAGTATAAAAATTCTGAGAAATATGCCATTGTTCATTAAGCATAAATGAATTCTAACAAAAATTTGGAAAAAAGGCAATTATCATAAAGAATTCTAAAAGCAAAGTAATTTAAGTTATTTCCTTTGCCTTCTATATGATAACTGTACAAATTTTGTTCCTCTTCTCTTCTCCCCGCTAACCACCAGAAGAAGTTTGAAAATAATATATTAAAAATTTCTTAAATTAAACTAACCCGTTCATAGTCAAATCCATGCTTAATTTTTTCTCCATTCAAGACGACTGTATAATTATAAAATCTACTGTTCTTTACGAGTCCCATCCATTCATTCCAACCTGGAGGCTGATAGCTGCCATCATATTCATTCAAATATTTTCCAAAATATGCCGTTACATAGTTCTTCTTTTGCAGGTATACACCAAATGTTTGTTTTTCATAAATTTCCCTAAATCAGTAATTACAAGTAGAGATGATGCAATTAAAAAATGGCAAGGTAACTGTGGTCACTAAATGACGAAAAAAACAAGAAAAAAATTTAAAAAAACATTACAATGAGCTTACCTCCAACTAGCACCTGAACAGTTTTGGTTGTTTGTAAAAACATTATGGTTGTGAACATACTGACCGGTTAAGATTGAACTTCTGCTTGGGCAGCAAATTGGAGTGGATACAAAACCACTTTGAAATGTTATACCTCTAACTTGCAGAAGATTTCGTGTTTTTGGCATAAACTAAACCTTCATCAGAGTTGAGCTAATAACTTAACGTTACCACATTGTCTATTTATAACAGATTTTCAGCATAATCTATTGGGAACAACTGCTTACCTCCATAGAACCAAGTTCAATATCTTGGTCGTCCGTTAAGATTAATACAACATTCTTTCCTTTAGTGCGGCTTAAAGTTTATTGATTTAAATTTAGAAAAACTTTACATGTTCAGCTATAAGTGATAAATAATTATTGAAAGTAAAATCATTTTGACACTGTAAATAATAAGAGTTAATTTTCTTACCATACATCAATAGTATAAGCAATTTGTAAGAGTATCAACGGGATTATCATTCCAATCATTATTTATGTTCTAGACAAGGAATCTATGAAATGAACTGAAAGTAGAGGGTAAAAATTTTTTTGAAAATATTTCAGGAGAAAATAACCATAAGAGATGCAATTTTCTTTCTTGTCTGTTTTTTTTTCTTGGAAAAGATTTATTCAGCAGCCTTTAAAAAATCACTCGTTTAGACGCTATTGACAATCTCTTTGTAACTATTTGAAAAAAAAGCTTAAAAAACATCCATTTCTCAATCCAACTAAAATGCTTATCAACAAGTGCTTAGCAAGAAGTTTTTAAGAGCTCCTGTTTACTGAAACTTTTTTTTTGAAAATCTGATAAAGCAGACGTTTTAGTAATTTAGCACAGCAGCAGTACCTGCAAACGAAGATGCAGCTGAAGTGCAGTTTACGGTTGAATTTCAGAATTGTAGTCGACAATAACTTTAGATTCCAGCGGCAGTAGCAACAACGGCAGCGGTACCGGCAGCAAGACGCTCAGTGATTGATGTTGAATGGCAAAGCGGATATTGGCAATTCAGCAATTGCTTCAACAATTCTCCTCTGTTGACCAGGTTGTTGGAGGTTCATTTTCAGGGTACTTTGTGAGCATCAGTAGTCTGAAGCTGAAAGAAAGGTACAGCAGAACCTTCTGGTAGCGAACAGCAGCAATAGTGTTTTTGTAAATATGATACAGGACAACAAACGAGGTGAACAGTGGTGGCGAAAATAATAAAGAAGGCTGCATCTGGCCAACATTTTCGGGTCTAATCCACTTATATAACCATTTTAGGAATAACAAAGTTTGCATTTATGATAAGCGTTAGTTATTTTGGATTCCGCAAAATAAAATTTTTGCTCTTCTTTCTTTGCATTTTGAAAGGTTTTAAAAGTAAAGAACTTTTTAATGTTTTAGAA